TCAATCTCTGTTTTTGGAGGCCTTTTCTCCATGATTATTTGTTCTCCCACCACTCTCAGATCTTGAGCTCTCTCTTTGGCATTTTGTGCCAGGTCCTGGGAATGCAAAGATAAATGAGACATTGTTCTTGCTCTTGAGAGGTAGAGTTAAAGGGGAAGACAAACCCACGAACAACTGATTAATATACAGAGATAAGTACAATAAATGTATATAAGATACTGAGATAAGCATGATAGAAAAGTGTCTATAAAGTGCAGCAGAAGTACAGAGGAGAAATAAAGACTATCTGGAGGAGTCAGTTCAAAGTCCATAGAAGATGTGACATTTAACCTGGGTCTTAAAATTTAAGTCAGGCCAGAAAGAAGGGGAAGAGTATTTTAGGCAAAGAAACCAACATGTGCAAGGGCGAAGTTGGCATGAACCTGTTCTGACAACAGGGGGAAGTTAGTTCCATGTGACTGAAGCACAGAGTACTTTTTACGGGGAAAGCAGGAGTTGATGCTCTAAAAGTAGGTTGGTCCAGATGTGAAGGATTCTATTTGTGGGGCAGAAGTTTGAACTTTTTCTTCGTTGGAAAACCATTGGAGGTATTTAAACTCGGATGTGTCCTGATGGGTTAGGGGCTTCACAAAGGTGCCTGTGACAGCAACGTGAAATAGTCTGTAAGTTATCTCAGGAGACCAGGTGAGAGGAGTGTCAGACCCAAGGCAGTAGGGCTGGACTGGAAACCCATTGGAGAGATGCACTTTCTAGAAATGAATGCACATTCAATCAGGAATGGTCAAATATGGAGCAGGAGGGAGAGAGAAGAACATCAGGTTGTAAACTGAGTATCTGGGTAGATATTTTCTCTGAAATCTTTTAGTAGAAGATTAAATTTACCTAATCCTTTAGATGACTACCAAGACACATGTTAACTCTCCAATTTACATTTTAATAATTTTTAAAAAATTAGTCTAAAGAAGCAACCATCAGCAAGCAGTTCAATTTTTTGGACAAAGAGACTTCTTGGTATTTGAAATCATGTTGTCTCCTCATCTGTCACACTCACTGTGGTGGCCCTGTTCTGAGGGGAGCCCAGGTCCCGGTGCAAGGCTGCGGGAGCCTTCCCTGCTTTTCCTTTCATTACTCCCAGGTCAGCGTGAGAAGGGTGTCTTGGGAAGCACGGGTCAATAGATCCAGGGGGCAGTGAGATAGAGGTGTACGCTGGTGGTGCAGGGCAGCCTGCCGCAGCCAACCTACTACATTACGTTGTCTGTGGAGTGGTCCTAAAAACTAATGTTGCTGTCACTGGTCCCTCTTAATTTTTATCAGCTGGGTATGGATGAGGCTTCATTGTCATTTACTTAATGCTTTTACTCAGATATTTGGCTAACTGATGTTTTTCCATGACTTTTTTGAGTTATTTTTGCTCAGTAATGAATAATAAAGTGAGATTTACCATCTGTATATGACAGCATTTGTTTTATTTTGACATTTCTTTTCTGGACAGCAAAGGTTTTATAATTAGCTTTTCCCTCTGCCAAAAACATTGCTGGAAAACGATTTCCCTGAAAAAAAAAAAAAATGTTTCATAGCTCCCTTTACTAGTTGGCGTCATCTTATTTCGATTTGGAAATTTTTTCATAAGTCAGTCAGGAAATGAAACAAGAAAAATTTCTCTTGAAAATTAATTCTTAACAAGAACGAAAATTAACTTTTGCCCCAAGAAAATTAGGAGGGAAATGAAAAGAAATATGTTTGAAATGGTGGTGGTTCCACTGTCTTTTTAAAAACTTTTTATTGAGGTAAAATTAGTATATAATAATATATGTTGGTGTATACATATATAGTATAAAATTGGTATGTAACATTATGTTTCATTATAGTTCAACATCTGTATGTACTACAAAGTAATCAGCACCAAAAACTAGTTACTGTCTTTCACCATACAATTGACCCCTTTTAATTTGTTAGAGTTAAATGAGCAATATAGGAAACCCCCTTTCTACCTCACTTCAAATGAACTTGTTTGATTCTTGCTGTTACTTTGATCAATTTTATGTCCAGCTCTTTGAAATACTGGGGAGACTGTGCTAGAACTGATGGATGGTACCCTATTTCTCAAAGGCTTAAGTCTGTGGTGGATTCTGCCCCTTTGCTAATATGCGGCAACCATCAGCCTGGTGCTGCCTGTGAAGATACAACCCCCGCTACAAACACACCCCCCTCCCATTCCCCACATGCTGAATTGCCCTCTTCATGCAGCCAAGTCTAAAGCTGGCTCTGTGACTGGGGAACCCAAGAGAACAAGCTGCAGGTATGTCAATTATCAGTGATTTCTCTCTGGAGTACTCTTGAAAAATGGAAGGAGGAGGTAACATTGATAACAGATGACAGAATGGCTTATCATTGCGAATGGCAAAAACATCACAGTGAGCTAATGGCAAAAGCAGTCACACTGACTGCACCAGCGCCCTCCCCTAATGATATGTGGAAACACCTTCCAGTTCCTACAGTAGGAACAGTGGCCAAATTCTCTTTATAGCCCAGAGTATTTTCCTTTCTAAGTCATACCCAAAGGGCTGCTCCTAGAATCAGATCCCAGACCCAGCCACGCTAGCCCCATCATCTCCACTCTAATTTCCACCACCATCATTATTCAACATTTTTGGATTGAGTACTAACAAATATGTGGAACTGAAAGAGACGTTATATAATATTTCAGAAGTGTATCTATTTAAAATGGAGACAACAGGCGTATTCTGAAAGCATTAAGCCAGTATCATTTATAACAATCCAGACAACAGAGTGAAATAATAGTGCTGTCTCAGCCATTCTTGTTCTCACGGGTAGAGTGTAAACATTTCTTTCCAGTGTATTTTTGTATTACATGATTAGCATCTTCTTTTAAATTTCGACATGTTGGCTATGGGTAACTGATACTCTGTGAAGTACAAGGAGTGTGAAGGAATCCCCTCTGTTTAAAGATGATGCCCCTTGTTTTGAATATACAGACCTGCTCATGTGAAATAGATGTGTATTTCATACACTGGTTTGGGTGACTGGGCCTTAGATTTTTGTCAAGAAATGATGTGGGGTTTAAGGAGAGGTTCTCGTAAGTCTGTGACAGTAAGTGAGGATTGTCACCCACCCACCCATGTCAATACCTAATTGTGTTAAAGAATTGTTACCTTTATCTAATCTAGTTCAAGATTTTTCTCCCCTTCACAGAGTAGAACAGAGAACCTGGGTGTGTTGAGGGCTTAATGAAAAGCCTCTGTGGCAGTAGAGCCTTAAATTTCTTATCCTCCAGCAACAAAGGTGGTTCTCCTATAAAGGGAATTATCATCACTTTGAAACAGCTCTCCTTCTGCTGTATTATAGGAAGAGTGTACACTGTTTGCTGAGATTGACTATGCTTATGATTTTCATAGGGAAGTGAAGCTTTATGTGACCTATAGATATAAAACCCAATATATCAAGGACATCAGGAGCATGGCACTCTGGGAGCAGAAGGCACCTGGGGAGTTATACAGACCTTGTTTGCATCCTCGCCCTGCCACTTATCGATTTGGCTTTTTCACACCTCATTTTTCTTAAGCAACAAAATGGTTATAATACTAGACTCTTTGGGTTAAATATTAGCTATTTCGTTATGCTAAATATTAGCATTTATTGAGTGCTCAGGTTGTAACAGATGCCCAGCCAAGCAATTATTACAAATGGTGTCATTTAATTCTCACCATAATATATGAGGTAGTAGTTATCTCCACGTTAAAGATAAAGAAACTGAGGCAGCCTATTACTCCACGTCTCAGAGCTAATAAGTGGCGTCAGGCTTTTATTCCAGGTCTGTCAGACTCCAGATTCTGTGAGAAGGAAAGTGAAATTAAAGTGGTGCCTCTTGCATAGTAGGTGCTTACCACATGTTAGTTCTCTTTCCTTCCATGTGTATCCTGTGGCTTTGACAGATCTTGGTTTCTGTGTTAGATTTTTATATGTAACATTCTATAGAGCAGGTTTGTCATACTGCCCTCATGTGGTTCATTTGGAAAACAATGGTTTCTAAAAAATGTGTAAGCGAACTATAATATACATGCAAATAAGCATTATTTAAAATGTGTATCTAGTCTCCTAACTGTATGGATACTTTTGGAGATAATATAATTCTACAACCTCACTACACAAGAAATACTACTTTTTACTTTCTATGATCCAGCTGAATTCCTACATCTGAGCCCTAACCAGCTGGTAAGATACTTAGTTTCAGTCACTCTTGTAACTTCTCCTCTGGCTTCACCAGTGTCCTCCATTCCTTCAGTTTTCTTGGGGAAAAACAAAAACAAAAATCCCTTCTCTTCCCTGGCATAGCACACGATGAAGCTTTGTCTTGCCATCCTGTTAAGAAGGGAGTAATTTTTCTTGCAATTATTCTTTTCCACCCGACTGCTCTGTTTACAGAGACTTTTAACCCACTGGAGAAACCTTCAACTTTCACACTTAGGAAAGAATTCACATCACCAGAGAGTAGAATGTTGGTTTAGTTACCAGTTTAAATGTTAGAAAATTTTTCCATGAGTAAAATAAAATGGTCCACTGTCCCACCTATCAGGAACTTTAAGTCACTAAGTGAAACTTACTCAAAGGTTTTCGTGTACCAGGAGGATACATTCAGCCTACCTGGATTCATTCTCCTATGTTACGCCAAGCCGCACATATGCATTTGAAACCTAGTGCGTTGATTAGCACAGGGCTCCATCCCAAGCAGTTACCCTCAGGAGACTTCCTTGTTTTTCAGTGGCCCTGTCCACTGAGGATTTAATCATCTCATGTCAGATTTATGCCACACTGTGCTCTGGTTATGTTTTTGTGATGGAGGGTAGTTGGTCCAGGAGAGGGTAAGGATCTTTTTTTAGTTCTTAAGTACCATTTTGTAACAACATACGTTGAAGCCTTCTGTTCTAAAATTTATCTAAGAGTTAACGATATCTTCATGCCAACACCTAATTGTGTTTCAGATAATGGAGGGCAGACTTTGGCGGGGGGCAATAACTGGCCCCTTCGAGGAAGAAAATGGAGCCTGTGGGAAGGAGGCATTCGAGGGGTGGGCTTTGTGACAAGCCCCTTGCTGAAACAGAAGGGGGTGAAGAACCGGGAGCTCATCCACATTTCTGACTGGCTGCCCACTCTCGTGAACCTGGCTGGAGGAAGCACGAATGGTACCAAGCCTCTGGATGGTTTCGACGTGTGGAAAACCATCAGGTACCTGCTCATCTTTCTCTTTTTCCTCCCGGGACAGGTAATCCTAGAACAGTTTGACTCAACTGAGTTGAGAATGATAGCTTCTCTGTGTGGAAATGATAGCTTACAAATAAGTGATTTTTAAAAAATAGAAATGCCTTTAGAAATATAATTCTATATATATTTCAAATATCTAGATTTGAGATGATGGGCCTGTGTTTTACATGAAGGGGAAGACTGTCTTCAGCAGCTCACCCTCTACAGGAGGTCTTTAAGCAGAGATGTTTCTCTAAGAAGTAGGGTAGTGTATTGTTTTCTTCCTGCAGGAAGTCAGCGGATCTGCCCCATTGCCTGCTGGGAGAATGGAGGACCATGCAGTGGAGCAAGAGCTGGAATGTGAGCCAGGGAGTAGCTGTGCCCAATAAGTATCTAGTGAGCACCTACTATGTGCCAAGCACTGTTCTAGATGTGGAAGAATTAGGGATGAATAAGACAGGCAAGATCCTGGTTCTCATGGAGCTTATACTCTAGTTAGGGGTGGGGAAGAATATATAAGTAAACACATGAATAAGCAAAATAACTTCTGGTAGTGATAAGCACTATGGAGGCAATAAAACAGCGTGTGGTGATAGAGCTGGTAGATGCGAAGGACATACAGTCTGGGGAGCAGAACCCAGACTCAGGTTTGAAAATGGTGGGAACCTTTTCCTCTTTAGCCACCACAGTATGGAACAATGACCCCAAAGTGGGGAGGAACACACCTTAGAGGGTGCAAGAAGAAAACTTTAAAACTTGTGTTTATATTTAATTTTATGTCATCTTTTTTAAAGTATATGTTTTTTATAAGGTATATAATGTATTAGTAGATTAGTATATATGTCCAATTTATAAATGAATGTACATATATTGGAGATATTGCTTTTACTGATGGAATGACAATTGTCTAGTCCAATCGTTTTCAACCACTGTTTGGTGTTACAGCAAGGGGTAATGGCTGACCGACTGGTCTCCTAGTGGCCAGGGGAGACGACCTCCTCAGGTTTTCCCTTCTTCATTCCGCTCCAGATGCCTCACCTCAAAGATAGGAGTTTCTGTTCTTAGGAAATACACAACGATGTATTTAGGTGTAAAGGTATATGCAACATACCTTCAAATGGCTCAGAAAAAAGTTATGTGAGTATGTGCATATATTCATATTTACATTTGTATATATACATTTTTAATACAAACACACCATAAGTGTGTGTGCACAGAAATAATACAAATGGAGTCAAATATTAACAATAAAATAATCTCAGTAAAGGGCTTCAGTGTTCTTTTACTATTTTTTATTTTTGCAACTTTCCATAAATTTGAAATTATTTCCAATTAAAATGTTTTTGAAAATAGGAAAGTCTGGCAGCACAGGGCCTACATGACCACAAAGCCAACAATTGACAAGAATCAATCAATTACCATCTTCCTTAGATGAAGCATTCACCCTTCAAATCACCAGGCCCTATTGCTCTCAACTCCCAGTGCAAGCTCACGTCACTCATTTATGCAAATTCTACCATATGTATGTACCTTGATATACTTAAATGTTCCTTTAACTTAGATTGATTTTTATTTTTTAAATCAATAACACTATAATGAACAATTTCTTCATAAAATCTGTCTACATTTTGGATTTTTCCCTTAGATATAAATGATTTTGAAATTAAGTTATGAAGCTAGAAAAGGACCATTTTATTTTATTTTTTAAATTTTCTCTCGCTTTTTTGTTCAGAAAGCTTTATCTCAGCCTGAAATGTTGTTTATCTGAATTTCTTCTAAGTGTCATAGTTTGATTTTCTTCCATGTAATTCTTGAATTGTTTGTTGCGAGATGATTGTGTTATGCAAGGTGGATATCTAAATCAGAGGAGTAGGCTTCTTTTTCAGGTCTTTGAATTTAGACTTCTTTGAGACTGAAAGATCTGAATTTAAAGGGAAAAAAAGTACCTGAACATATGCAAAAAAATTTAGGTAGAATTTATTTTTATGATATTAGACCTTGATTACACTTTCTTTTCTATGTGATCGTGTATGTAACGTACTATTGAGTCAGCTCTGACTCCTGGTGACCCTATGAGTAATGTCCAAAATGTCCTGTCCTCAACAGCCTATGGCTTCTTTTATGGAGTCAATCCATTCCCTATTTAATCTTCCTCTTTTCCTGCTGCCTCCTATTTACCCCAGCATTATTGTCTTTTCCAGACACCTCTGCCTTCTCTTGATGTGCCCAAAGTAGGACAGCTTTGGTTTTGCCATCTTTGCCTCCAGCAACATCTCAGGCTTAATTTGCTCTAGGACTCACTTGTTCGTCTTTCTGGAGGTCCAGGGTATCTGTAGAGCTCTCTTTCAACACCATGTTTCAAGCGAATCAATTTTTTTTCCTGTCAGCTTTCTTCGCTGTCCAGCTTTCACATCTGTATGTAGTAACTGGGACTACAACAGTGTCGATTTCTTAGCTTTGGTCTCTAATGACACATCTCTGCTCTTTATGCTCTTTCCTAATCCTTCCATTGCTGCCCTTCTGAGTCTCAGCCTTCTCTTGATTTCACATAGAAAAATATGGGAAAAAAAAAAAAAAACGAACAGTCTTTGCAAACCTATGCCTCTCATTCATTTTTAATCTAAAAAGTAATACCTACTTTATGATAAAAAGGAAATAAAACAAAAATTTCCAAGCAATGCAAAACTTGAACTTCAGTTCAGCTTATCACCAGCTTTCAATGTGAAAGTTCTTGAAATTTGACTTAAAGAAGTAGGAAAAAGTTTGAAGTGGATTTGATATGACAACATATGTATCATGCAATCAGTTTTTATTTGTGTTTTGTTGTGTTTTGGTGGCAAATGTGTTGTAAACCCTAGCTTGGAAAGGCATACAAGCAAAAGGAATCAAAGCTCTGTAGTACCATTTGCCAAACGAAGGTAGGCTTGAGCTGAGAAACAGTTAAATTCATTTTAAATCATTTCCTCTGCCCCCAGTTCAGTGAGGTTATTACCTTTGGCAAAGTCCAAGTGATTGATGTTCATCCATATCACCAAATGATGGGTTATAAGTCCACTTTTCAATCTTAAGATTATCTTGATCAGAAGTAACCTTTAAGAGTTTGGCACATGTTTGCTTCTGCCTGCAGAAAAATTGCAAACGGTTTGGTCCCCTTAACTCCAGATTGCAGAAGGTCTTTCCTCAGTGTTAGAAGAACACTGAGCTCCTAGTGACCGATCTCTTACAGAACAGGGCCTCTCTCTTAAGCCGCATACATAATATTGACTGCAGGGCTTTAACCAAAAGATATGGCCAAAAATATTGTCCAGATATGCTAAACCATGAAAGAGTAGATGTTCCCTTTCTATTTTTTAAAAACTAAAAATTCTGCCCAAAGTTTAATCAAGTACTTTAAGACTTTCTTGTGGGAATCTAGCAAATCTTCAGTAAGTAACGATCCGCTCTCATTCTGAACCCATTTCTTGTTAAAAGATCCTGAAAAATGATTCATCCCTCTGGCCCTGATGAAGTTGATGCTTCTCACAGGATTAGGCAATCTTCATTCAGAATCAGTGGCAGAACATTTGGTGCCCATGCCCGCTGACATAGAAAGCGATCAGTCAGATTGACATCTGGAGCTTTTTTCCAAAGCAGCAAAAACAAATGGATAGCCAAATGCCAGAGACACTTGATCTGTACCCAGAGTTCCATAACTGTTTTCAGTCAGATATTTACTTGGAAATTCTATTTTCAGGGTGATGGTAGTTTTTGAAAATTTCAAGAGGGCCTCATGAAATAGGAATACCAGTGATGGATGAAAAAGAATTGGCCGTGCTGAGGGCATCAGAGGTTTCACTAGTTGCATAGTTATCAATCTTCCTAGACCTGCTTCAGAATTTTAAAATGATAGAAGAAATAACAATTCTGGAGTGATGACATTATTTTCAACAGAAACTCCTTCAGCTCCTTAAGTTTTTCCTGTTTCAAGCCAAAGACCATGTTTGTAATTTCTAGGAGACATAACTCCTCCAAGCTCTTTCCAATTCTGTATGTTTTTTCTGCTTTTCATCTCAATAACCAGCGTAAAGGTTATTTGAAGAAATTTCAAGGGATTCAGACTTTATAATGTTTTTTAAACTTATTTTATCTTTAAACTTAATATAAACAAAAGCAGAGCCCCTGATCATAATGATGGAATGTTTTTTTTTTCTTTCTCATCAATGGGGAACTCTTCTATATGTTACAATATGAAATATTATCTGATGATGTAAAATATCTTAAAAACAATATGACATTATAAAAACTTTCCCCCCATGGATTAAGTTCCAAGAAGAAAGTTGAAGGCAAAGTACTCACTATTCACCCCACTTTCATAGAATCATGAAGCCCAATGAAGCATAGTAGTCAATGAGTCAAAAGTTAAGAACCTCTGAACTAAAAGGATACTTTATTCCAAATATTACCAAAATGATGCAGACTGATTATTGAATAATTATTACTGAATAATAATTTTGTTATTATTGAATAATATTTCCTATTTAGTGAAAATTTTGTGGTATCACTTTAATTATGTTTTCAGTTCTTACTAGTACTGTGATCTGCCTTGGTGCCATTGTTTTAGTCTACTGACTTAGCCATTCTCATGCTAGCTAGCACCTCTCCAATGGCTGGTAATCATTGTCTTTTTAGAGTATATTTAAATACCTGGTAGAAGTAGCTATCTACCTCTCTCCATTATATTTCCTTTACAAAATTTAGCTTCACGTACAACTGATCAGTGCTCAGCTGAGTATTCTAAGGGGACCCTTTGCAAATCTCTTTCTGTGTAGCCTTCTCCTCTCTGGTACTTTGTTACTCTGTTGTATGAACTTTAACTGCCCTGGTCTCACTGGACTCTCAGCTCTGTCTTCAACTCAGGGAGTCCACTGGGCTATGCCTCAGTTCCTCAGTTCCCCTTTCTGTACCAGGGCTTAGAAACTGTATCAAGCTAGGGCAATGATAAGACT